TCTTACTACTGTGAACTTACTACTATAAGAGTTAAATAGCTTTTTTTTCTTAATAATATAATCCTTTATTTTATTTGTTTAGTTTTAAGTATTTTAAAAATATACATCTACTATTTATTAAACAAATAAACAGTCACATTAATAATCAACAAAGTAGAATTCTAAGGTTTCGTAATATGTTAATGAAAATATACGTTAGGCTGACGCTCAGACGAAGCGCTTCGCTCTGTGCTTCACAATGATTGTAATTTATTATGAGAGGTGCAGCTAATCCTCGTCGGTAATGCTGGCTTAGCCTAACGTGATTAAGGGATATATTGGACAAGCTGCTATTGTGTTTTAATAACAAAAAGCAACACTGGAGTTTTAAAAAATCCTAATAATTAGTTAAGAAGTTACAGAATAGCTTTCACACTAGAGTGAGGAATCACGATTAATAAACAATTCTAAATAATCTAACGATCTACTTAAGTAGGAAGGTCGACCGACGAAATACACATGTTTAAAATTAGGAGAACTCAAACAATGATCGAGCCAATGGCATAATAGAGTGAGCTCCGGAGCACATGTCGGTATTAGTAATAACGAAACTGTATCTTTGAATGCAAATGAGCCTCCGATCTCCAGCCAAGCGCGCGTCGATATCAACTCGTTTTGAATATCAAAGCGTTGCCAAGTGGCAGAAGGGCTTTGTGGGGCGTCTATTCGGATCGATGGAAAAAAGTGATCAACACTGACGTGAAATTTAGGCTGAATTCGGGTTCATTTGAAATTTAAAGATATTGCGTTATTTTCATTTTTTATTCACTCATCACTTAGATGTAACAGTTTCAAGAGACTGAGCACGGAAGGTCTTATCTAACTTATCTGTATAACATTAATGAATGTAATCATCACTTATTAATCTTGAATTAGGTTTTATTAATTTAAAAAACACTTTTAACTGCTTAAAACCCTAATTTATTATTTTCTTGTTTGTTAATAGGAAGTTAGAGTTACCATAAGTTAAGTAATACATTCGAACCTTCAAAAATCTAACCGAACCTTAGTTCACTTTACGATCCGATTGAATCATTGCTCCAAGAAATATAACAATTGATTCCGTCATAACATTGTAATCTGTAAAAGGTATTACTCAGTAAAGAGTCTCACATCCCCCTTGAATCTAGGTAATAGACGTATAGGAAGATAATAAATATCCCCGTACTGTGCTACATGCGAAATTTCGATTCATCACTCGACTGTAACGGCCAGATGAATTATTGCTATTGTCGATATAACTCCCTCGCGCAGGACAGCAAAACGCCACTACGCCCTTTATTAAAACTTCTGCAATCGTGCTTTTAGTCAGCCATGGCGTGTAGCAAGGATAAAGAAGGATTAAATTAATTGTATAGGTTATGGATGCAAAAATGTTTGTTATAACTTATAAGTCGCATAATTACTACATACACAGACTCAAAGGTATTAGACTCGATTAAGTGTAAAGCTCTTAAAATCGATCAAGCATTTGGTATGTATAACATCCAAATCATTAAAGTAAGGTAAATAAAACTCAGAGACCACGACTGCTGCAAAGCATCCGAAACGTCGGGTCGAAGTTAAAAATCATTTTCTAATAAGTTTAACTAATATATCGCGTTTTTAAACCGTTAAGTGTTTTATTTAAATAAATAAAACTCCCTTAATTATGAAGTTCGGAAAATAATAGTATGTCTACAATAATGGATTTCCAACTGCGACACGAAGTTTCCGATGCTTATCGTTAGTCGTGGTCGCGAGGGAGAAGACTCAAAAAAGGTAACAATGACAAAGGACTATGAGTATAGTTATATTCATTCAATTACTGCGATATTGATTTTACTTGAAATTTATAACTTCCTTGTGTTCAAATATGTAGGTATATATTTTTCCACTATCTAGTCACGCCACAAAATATAATCATTGTCCATACAGGTCCCATTATGGCTGTACACAATAAAACTATTCCGTCAGCAATTCAACCCCTTTCGTCAACCCTTCGCGCGCCGGGCGCTCGTCCCGGGACACAATGTACTGATAATTAAGTCCCCATTCATCTCATTGGGGACGTGACAGGAGATGTCGGACGCACGCACGTAAGAACTGAATAGTTAAAGCTGTGTGGGATCCGCCTGTACCTCGTTAGGAATTTAGAATAAGTTTATCATTCACGAGGCGAGTGTTTTGTGAGCGCTATGCAGTTGATAATAATACATACATATGAGTAAATTATAACTTATAAGATATACAATTAGGAGCTGACTTCGCAAAAGTTTTTTTTACATTTTCCATTGTTTCTTAGCTCCTATTGGTTGGTAAGTCTAATGTTTTATAGCCTAAAACCTTCCTCGATATGTGCTCCTACCTAAAAATAAATTAAATGCGAACCAGTAGTTCCTGGCATAAGCACTTTCAAACAAACTCTTCAGCGTTATAATATTAGTATTGATAAGATTAGAACATACTTAGCCGTAAAATACCACGTTAGGGGTGTTCGAGCCTAACTCCTCTCGCTCCCATAGGAACCACACATGGAGATATTTTAGTGTCTACTCGGAATCGAAAGCGGGTCATCTTATTGACTAAGAGAGGACAGCTGTGCTCGTCACGGTGTCTGCGACGAGTGCCACAACTCATTACACGACACATTAACACTGATCTACGCTTCGTTAAAACCGCTCTAGAGATAGCGACTGTTTTAATAGGGCGTGCACTGAACAAGCCATGTTTAGATGTCTTCATATTTTACAATTAGGTACGTAAATAGTCGGCGTATTAATAACACTATACAGTACATACTACAGTACTTCATAAGCCGACAAACGTTTTGCGTTAAGGATCTAGTAAGACCAGCTTCAGTCTCATCTCTATTCTAGTTCTAGTTAATTGTGTGAGAAGTGACCCCGGTAGACGCCTTGGAGGAATAACATAGCGAGTGATAATTGATCAGTTATCGAACAAGATGAAATTTATTCAATTACTAAAAAATAGGGGTTTGGTGATAGAAGATTTAAAAATTAGGATTCGACGCATTTATTATGCCATTGTAAAAAAAAGGATTGTGGATAACCTACTGAGTATAAATGAGTAAAATCAATATAAAACGAGAATTGTATATTTTATATATCAGATATAGAATATTTACAAAATCCTTTACAAACGGTTTTAAACCGTTAATTAACTTTGAGTTGAAATATTTTTTCCGCTAACAATTGTGGACAAACGAAGTATTTGGAAACAACGTTCGATGCTTTCATTCACGATTCGGACGAGCTGGTTCCCCACGCACCGGACTAATTGCTGTAAGTGTTACAAGTGCCGTTAGCAGTTAGCAGTGAGGCTGGCACCTCACGTCGGAGACTGCTAATTATGTTAAGAGGTCACTTTGAGTTGCACCGACACTTCCGGCCCGCCTCACGACTCACGACCGCGAACACAAACATGGCACGCTAGGGTTACATGGCGATAGGACTACAGTTATGATACACTGAGGGAGAGAAACGGCAGCACAGGTCTCATTGTTATTTTCAATTAATGTTAAAAAATACAATCTTAATCCAGCGATCACGTCAAATCATATACCTAAATACGATTTGACGTGTTAACATCGATAAATAAAGGGAAGTATTCATGCGACAAGATTATTTGTGTACGTGAGATAAGCACGAAGGACGATGATAATAAAGATAAACTTCGTCTTTATATATAACAAAACAGTATGAGCTATTACTTTTAATCTCCTGCGCGCCGCGTCGCGGAAAAATTAGTATAGAAAAACATCTGCCCCACGAGACGCCTAGCAGAAGTGATACGCGTTACGTAACGTGTGGTAGTGGTATACTCTCGCAAACAAATTAGTGACATAACAGTGCGTATTCTGTTCATCAAGCGAAGAACGTTGATTTAGAGGCATGTAAACTGCGTTTAAAAAAAATAAACTTATCCGGTGTGATGACAACCCGGACAAAGTCGGTTGTTCGTCACTCGTTGCCGATGTTACGTGTTCCGTCGAGTGCTAACTACTAACGAACCAGACCACTAACTTGCTCCAGTCAACAGCGCACGTTAATCATACAGGTTTACGTCAGTCCCGTAACAGTTGCCCAGTTTTCGTCGATCTATAGACGTCTATCTTAAACAATATACAGACATGGCTTCTAGGTTACGTAGGTAACATTTAAGGTTCGTTGTCTGTGTATATAAAGATTATAAAAATATTCACCATCACTCCAACAAAGCGAGTTTCAGTAAAAGTCATCTGTAAGCCTTTAACGAAAAGGGCTGTAGACCTTCGTTGCAGTGCGCCATGTGAATAGATGGTTCGCAGTAGTGTTACCGCACGAGATGTTACATTCGTAAGCGTTCAATGCGTCGATTCGTAAAGGTTTAACCAGAAAACCGCACGTCCATCGAGTGCGCTAGGTACAACTAATCAACGCTGCTATTCCGCCATACAAAACAACAATTCCGCAAAATGAAAAGCCGGGATATTTTGACGAGTTAGCTTCCCCGGCGCCCGCCGGCAAACACAAGTTTTTAATATCCTGTGCGTTTAATATGTGTTGCATTCGAAATGAAAACGAGTATTTCTGTAAGGGTTTTATGTCGGAGAGATAAAAATGTCCATAAAAACTGATACAGTGCTTTAATGAGTCTGTCTCTTTGACTCGTAAAAAGTTATTTTCTCTGATCACTTTTTTAATGCACCTACGTGAGTATTTGAACTACTGTTGAGGGGTTACACTTAACGCGCGTGTCGAATTACTATAGTATTCACTTAGATAAAATATATATTTAATTTGTCTGCAGTCCTATAGTCTCTTAAAAATGGCATACCAAAATCAGATCATTAAAATTATTAGAATCTATAGAAGCGTTTAAACGAACACAGCGACAAACATTCCCTGATTGGTCTTATCACTATTTTTTATTTTACGTATTAGTGCGATATCGTAAATAGATATATATGTTGCTCAAACTCAACAAAGGCAACTTGTTACAAAAGTTAGCAACTCGTCTGACGCAGCTGGCAACAAGTTGCGCGACGTGTGGCAGCTGCCGACGCTTTCCACTTGTAAACAGGCGTCCCATGACGTCTGAAGGGCGGAGGAACTTTGCTCTAGATTAGGACAAAACATTACGGTAGCATCCCTCACGAACATAAGCTCGTAGTAAAACACACAAGTTACAAAAAGAAAAAAGTTAAGTAGGCCTACACGTCCTTTAAACATTTGAACGTACATCTACCAACGAATAAGACAATATTGATGTGGAGTCGATTTGTTTTGTGATAAAAAGTAAGAATTTGATTTAAAATACGGGTACAATTTCACAGTTTTGTAAATTTCACAAAAGCGGTAGAAATTATGCAAACAGATTGAATATTGAGTAGAAATCTACTGTGCAAAAGCATATTCTAATGTGGACGAAAATTCATCCACATTAGAATATGCAATGAAATAGCAATAAGGAAAAGTGAAGTTATGATTTTACGTTGAGCTGTTGTAAGTAATGGCACAACAAGCTAAGAATCAAGGCCTCATCTATACTAATACAAAAAGCTTAAGAGTTTGTTTGTTTGAATGCGCTAATCTTTGAAACTAGTAGCTCTAATTTAATGTTTTTTTTTGTGTTTAGAGCATTTATCGAGAGGCTATAGGCTAAATATACAAGCGAAGAAACGGCGGTATATGTTGAAAAAAACGGGGAAAATTATTCATTCTTGTGAGTTTCCGTTGCGTACCTACGCTGCGTAAACTACTCAAGATAACCGAAAAACACGTATGTAAGAATGTTTCTGTAAATGATATAAAAACATGTCCGCGACAGTATGTATCCATCTTTTAAGATTAGCTTGCAAGCGCGACGAGACACAGACGACGTCGTGGGTAAGAGCTATTATGTATAAAGATTAGAAGATTTACAAATCAAATTTTGATGTCTAAAATAACTATTCTACGCAGACGAAGTCGCTGTCACAGCTAGTAGTTTATAACCAGTATCTACAAAACAAGAGTACTTAATATTATGTTCCGCATAAATTCCAACTTTATCAGAATTCGATTACCAGATAACCCATCGTAGCTCTTAAAACAATCTCGTCTTGCACGTTACACGTCATCGAAGCATGTAAGGTCACGTGTCGTCGGTCGTAGATGCATTCGCGTGCCAGTCCCGCTCGATCCCTATCACTCCCGCGGGACTCGTTCCCACTCTATATAGCTGCATCTTGTATGCATGTAACTGCACTAAATGCTATTTCACCTCTTAAGTATAGTGCCAAATTGTATATACAATATGCAATAAACGTAATGGCATTTTAAAATTCTAGCGAGGAAGAATATCTATTCTCTGTTTACCTAGACCTAACTATACTCCATATTCCAATTGCGTCAATGCTACAATTCGTCCGTCCAAAGAGAAGACAAAAAGCTAAAGGTAAATAGAGGAAAAAGGCTCAAAGTTAGAACCGCTTACACATCCTACGTCGTTCGGTTTCGTCCAGTCACGCTGGGTCAAGTTTGATGAGGCTACGTGACGTCATTATCTACGTAATTGGCTCTACTGTGACTCGTAGCAAGTTCTCTTTTCTCTAAGTCATTGCGTTTCATCAATTGTACGGGAGCCATAAGTGTTTTCATTCAAGATTGAGTGAACGGAAGGACCACTCATTTTATTTTCTCATGTCCGTGTCTAGGTATACTTATGAACGTCAAAACAGTTAAAATAAGTTATTTAATTTTTATTCACTAGCCATTCTCAAATCGAGAGTGGAGAACGAGTCATAAGAACCGGAAAGAAACTCGCCGCCACTCTTTTTATATCTTAGTTTACGAAAACTGAACTGCTTAATACTCAATATTTTACACTGCAAGTTACAAGCAATTGATGACGTCGATGAATACGTGGGTGACACTCAATTTGTAATTGAAATCGAACGCAAGTACAGTGGATCGCGGCTCGGGCCTACAGTAGTCAACGTCGCACAATTGAACGGGCACAGGTGCGGATTGGCAATTAGAGCAATTAATCATAGGAACGATCGTCGTTTGCGAGACAAAGATTGGTAAGGTAACATAAATCCAGCTTTATCTGCTCGCATTAAATGCAAGCTTCTGTCCCAAATTGCTCAGACGCGAGCAAAAAATGTCGAGTAATTGGAGGCAATCAGTCCGGTTTGATAAGCTTTTAGCTCCTACACCGAGTCCTAACCCTATTTGTGAATGTTGAGAGTTGCCTCGGAGTCGACAGAGTTATGAAGAAAATTTTACCGTTTGGCAGCTTTTAACTACGAACAAACTACGGGACATTGTTCGCTTTTTACATGGGAAGTCTCCTCGAAGGTTGCATTAGTATGTAAAAGTGGTTCGAAGAGGCGCGAGTGCCGAATATCAGTGTAATAAACGAAGTCTAAATTGCCGTGCTCTCGGAGTGACAAAGTGCGGGAGGCAATTTGGGAGTACATAAATTAATAAGGGCCCTCTGAGCCGAGGTGCGAGACGCGGGGCGCGTAGCTTAGTCTTATTTCCGTTTCGTTTTACTCCTTAAATTGCTCCTACTGTTATTCGAGTGGCCCCGCCTCGGAAATGGGATTCTTTAAAATGAAGCGTTTCGCCTAGAATCTCAGAGCAATTTGTGATTATGTCTGTAGTGTAACGAATACACCAATACCTCAAGTAGTGTTTAGTTACTGCACTTAGAAATAGCTTTGCGTGAGCTTGAATGCCGAGGAAGCTAATATCGTTGTAATATCCCTTTCTTTGCGACCATAAGCAAGTTTCTGGGAAGTAGCCCTAGAGTATTATATATTATGAATAACTGGGAACTGATAGGTACGTCATATCTCTACGCTCGAGTGCGCTCCGAGAACGCTTTCACATCCAGCAGAGCGACTCCGCATGATGTACCATAATGCGCTTCAGACGACGTCTATTCCAACATTCACTATAAAAATGAGTTGCAGAGTCATCGTTAGCGAGGCATTATGGGCTCGCGAACGACGCGCCACTTGCTTTCTTCTCGTATGCGTTTAATTTTAAATTCGTAATGTATATTGAACAAGAAGAGATGGGCAAAGTAATTATGAGCAAGTACGTATGTACGTAAATTGATAATTTAAAAGAGTGAAGAGTTTCTTAGTTTTCAAGGATCACTAAAACGAACTAATAGTTACATATACCCATAAAGCCTAACATAAGTACATAGTATTGTATCTGACACGTTAATATTTCAATCCATAATAACCAAGCCACAGAAGCCGTTACTGACTGGTACTCTTAAAGCGAGTTGTCTTACCTCCATCATCCGGTATGTTGAGCAACTTTTTGGCTCCAGGACTCGGCCCACGTACCGCTGACAGCGCCCTCTGTAACGTCTCACTCATCTGCTTGCCATCGCACGCACACGCATATAACAATACGCACACTAACACATAACACACACTGTAACCTCCCCCGCCCGCGCTCCAACCCCCGCGAAGCGCTAACATCGCGCTCACGACACTACATCCTAGATCCAAAACACATCTGAAACAAAGCAAAAACATCTAATTACAAAAACATAATTCCCTGACCAGCGTTATCGATTTTGTAAAACTACTAGGTATATACATATAAAAGTAACTGTGCCTGTTTAGCTCATCTATTTTATTAAGAACGGAATCCAAATTAAAGTCCTATGCGAGCGAAACTATTTCTGTATCGTGTGTATGTTTTCCCGAGATTCAAATCCAAGCCTGCACCAGAAGCCTAATTACAGGTGACTGCGTTAGTCAAAATATTAAATATATTTTGTCTCGTTTTATTTTTCATTTTAAAGCACCCTCGTTGCGGTTTGAAATACAATTAGAAGCTTCGAGTACATTTGTAATGAAAAAAATCCGTATCTACGTTTAAAATACCGAGCTGTGAGGAGCAGAAATGTCAGTCGTTATTTTTGTTAGATGAACTGAAGATATTATAACGAGACATGGTTTTTGGGTCGTATTTATCCAGGGAAATCTGGATTCGAATTCAGCGCAATAAAGACGGATTTAACGATCTGAACGAAATTAAGCGAGACGTATTTCACAATAACAGCAATGGACGTAAATACCGTGAGAACGTTAGTGTGTGGATTTATCGTCGATCACGATTCACACACTTTTTGATCACCATACACAACGCGTGCGACCTGACACATCCTTACTTACGTCACAAACACAAAAACACTCTAATTAGTTAATTAACACGCGTCAACAAAACGAACATGGTCCCCTAGCGTAATACAAAATGAAACTAAACTAAAAATTTTAACTGAACCATTTTGACCGCCAATAAGCGTTCGAACTTGGACTGAAGTATTCACAAACTATTTATAAAGAGTGTTTACGAAAATAAACTTTATGCTGACGCAGATAGACGCCTGCGGCACCGCAAGCCCGGGTGGGTAGGAAACGTAAGGGAACGCATCTTTGTATTCATTTCTCTACCTGAGTCTTGTCCCTTTTTTATTTACACGGGTCGTTTGATCTCTTAGCTACCTTAGTGCCCGGTACTAGCGGTCAGTATCGCTTGCGTTTAGCTCGGGCGATGATTGCAACTTCTTATGGTCTTATAGACTCAGGTGATAGCACAAGTCCGAAATGTTCGAATCACTGACGAGATGACGTAAAAATACTGCATATATCTTACAGTATTTTTTGTCAGTTATCTACTTAACGAAACGTGACTCATGCGATCGCTGAAGACTCACGAGTAGTTAACATACCGCGACGATTGCGAATTTGAAGATTCTTCTGAAATCATCTCGTGACTAATTGTTATAAAGATCCTTGAAATAATCTTTTGAAGATAACCATTTTTCTACCCACTATGTGTAATATTATACTAGTGCAATTTAAAAATCAATAGCAAATTGATACTCAACGAATAATATAGATTTTCAATTTTATATATCGTAGCTTGATTAAAAATTAAAAGTTAACTAAAGCTTTCGCCGCACGAAAGGCATAATATATTAACCTCGTGAATATTTCGGAGTATTAATTAAAAATAACGAAACGCGTTATTTCGAATCGGGCGCAATTGATCGTCTACACGTCTCTAACATTCCCCTTGAAATAAAGTTAATTTCCTAATTCACGTGCGGGTCTATAAGTCCCGCGGGCCCCGGGCGCGCAGCGATTTGCATAGAACACAGATATTCAATTAGTTAGTAATTGTCGATCGCTAATGAGCGCGGCAACTTGTTAATGAACTGAGACTACGCACGACCATTAATTTAATTAATATCTCCCAATAACAAACCATTAATTAGTGGCATCTCAAACTACACAAATCCACGAACTATACTACTGTGTGTAATTGTTGAAGACAAAGAAAATACACGTTGCTTTTCTTCGTACTTATAATTTCAAAGGTCTCATATTAATATTAACGCGATTCGTAATAAGTCGAAATGTCCGTAACACAGACACATTCCGTACTTTCTAATCATCCCAATAATATGTAAATCAGATACAATAAATCAGCCACAAATATAATATTAGCATCCGTCGGTCCGTTCATAAATATTCAGGGACGGACGAAGTTCGGTCCGCGAGCCGTAGCCGTGCCTCTGCCCGTGTTACACCGAAATCTGAATTTGATCAACTTCTCAAATTAATTTTAACTCAATTTTTGGTGGCTGGCGCCTGACACAGCGGGACCGGACAGGGTAATTTTAACTTTTAATTTCGTCACCAAAAGAATGTTTTCACTTTCATTGCTGTTTCATACATTGTTGTAAACTTCTCTTTAAATTAATATTAACATAAATTTCGTGTCAAAAAATAACGAATATGTTTTCAGAAAAGACTCCGCCCGCTTAGAATAGTTATTTTGGGCATCAAAATCTGTTTTTATAAACTTCTTCTTCATCTTTATAGATTTCAGCTGGCCACAACGTCAGTCGGGTCCCGTCGTTGTCGCAGGTTAGTCTTTAAAGAGATTATATCGGTATCTTGAACCGTTTTCGTAGCATACACAACGCAAACCCAAAGCATTTATCGAGGAAGGCTACAAAACATCGTCCCGTGACTAATACAAACGAAGATGCAGCGAGAAATATAAATAAAATTGGGAAAATTATTCATTACTATGGTATTCCGAGACGCTGCAAAAACGGTTCAGGATACCTAAACAATATGTGCATATAAAAGAATGAATCCTCTTTAAATGATCTAAACAAAAAAGTCCGAGACGCTATATGTCTATCTTTTAAGAATAACCTAACATTATTTATCAATATAATAGACAATAAAATAGTGCAACTAGTAGATCCAAACGCTTGCATAAAACTCGGACCATAAGCTGATGTGAACCAATGCTGGGGAACTGCGAACGTATTAGCACAGTTCGTAGCCAGGGGTCAATTGTTGCTAGTGATTTGGCGCTCTCCACCCATTACTGTTTACATCGCACCGGCCGCGTTTCAAGCTGTTAGCGAATGGCTCATACAAACACATGATCCTAATTGCAATCAGTCGGTTATTAGCCCACGTTGACTCTATCAGTATTCACTGTTTAGGAATTTTAACGGCTCGGCTTATACCGTACGGCATCGAATTTCATTTTCGAGCTGTAATCGGCCTAATTGGTAATCCGGTCTTAATCCCAACTTATAAGGAATCTCCAGTTTATGGGCAGGCTATAGGTTACGACACTAATTAACCGAATGGTAATAGTGTACTTTCAATTTAGCTCGTACTAATGAATGTATCAAATCTGAGACATTTAAATTTTTTAGTTGTTTTTATGTGTATTATTGTACTGGGAATAAATGATTAATTATTGTTCTAGCCGTGTCAGCGATTTTTCCGCGTAAAATACGAACGTCCTAATCAACTTTATAAATTTAAGCGTTACCCACGATGTCGCTCGTTTCCCGTCGTTCTTGCAAGTCCATATTAAAAGATAGACATATAGTGTCGCTGACATGTTTCTAGGTCATTTAAAGAAAGAGAGAAATCATTCTATCATACATTTGGTATCTTGAACCGTTTTCACAGCGTACGCAACGGAAATCCAAAAGCATAAATAATTTGCCCCGTTTTTTTTTTCCACATTTCCCGCTGTTCTTTCGCTCCTATTAGTCACGGCGCCTTCATCGATAAATTCAAAATCCTCGACAACAATATTTTTCAATTCGAAGCAGTACTTCCTAAATTTAGCGCATTCAAACAAACTCTTCAGGTTTATATATTAGTATATTAAGTATTAGTATAATGGAGACATACATATTACCTACCAAGTCCGTTAAACAATTAATTTATTAGAATATACAGGTCAACCAATATCTCATCTCTCTATACCTACGTGAGGTATGTGGACGGTCACTGTAAAGTGTAAATTTAATTAAATATTAATTTACTAGTACTGGAATATAATATCATTGAGCCATGTTCTACTAATAACATTATATATTAAACAACGTCGCGTTTACGAGAGAAAACGTCAACAAAACTGCTCTAGAGTAAAAAGAAAATATTGTCTCTAAACTTCATGTAGCGGAAGCTTCATTCAGAAATAATACAACAGTTTTATATTACTTCCTCGCAGTTTGCACTTATTTTTTGGTTAAGCTCTAAGATAAAGGAACAAACAGGAAGCAAGACATCCGCAGATTTGCTTCTTTCGTTATTTTTCAAAAATAATTTTCCTATCTTTACCATAAAGTTTTAAACAGTTAAAGTTGCCTTACTTTTCTAATACCAAAATAAAGTAATCAAGTAAAAAAAAACATAAATATGTATTATTTATTAAATAGGATCTGGAGCGTTGTTTAAGACACGAATATAAAATTGATTAGCTGTTTTCCAAATATTAAAGAAATTAGGGCTCTTTCGATAACCGTTACTTTAATAAACGAGTGCATTCTTTATCTCGAAACAATTTAACGTACGAAGCGGACGAGGCATCATAAACATGCCTTTATATAAATTGCAATGCAATATGCGCGCAACACAATGCATTAACCAAGCGCGGCGGTGCGTCTGACGGGTTAAAACAAAAAGCTTATACACACAATTGCTTGGCATACGTCGCCCTGTCTGTTGGTGTATCGGTCGGGCATCGAATCCGCATGCAATAACTCAGCTGCCGTCTTGTCGGGTAATTGACAACCTGCTAGCCTGGTGTGACGTCACCAGGTGACTAACCCCCTATGAAGGAAAGGCGTTGTTACATGACTAGAGGCAGCCGTAATTTAAAGGAAGGACTTGTATATGATGCTAGAACTAGTTGATGAACTAGTTTCGGCCTACTGAAATCTATGTAGTACCTACCTACTAATAATATTCTAATATATATATATATATATGTACGTAATGACCATTGTAGGTTTGAGGACTCTAATGAGACTGAAGTAATATGAAAAAGGTTCCCGTAAATTTAGCAAGTATTATAATGTATAGGTGTGCATGTATATACAATTTGTAATAACATATACCCAATTTGCTGTCAGATCTTGTGTATTGTAAATTAGTTTGTTTTATTTTCAGTGGTTGTGGTTATTTTTTATATTTATTCGCAGGCGAGTGTGATACCAGACAGCCCTACGATTTTAAAATCCGTGTTAATATTTCAAATGAAACGATAAAACTAAACGAGTTCAATCAGCTGTAACGATTCGGTCTGGCGGAGCGCGACAAAATGAGATCATCGCAATACATTGCGCGTGATGCGAAAACGTCGAAGCGTCACGTTTTAACATAGACGACGATGTAACGCGAATCGGATTGTAGCTCGGTTAGTTGCGAGTCCGCCAGTAACCACACATCGATAAACATTAAACTGTATCGGCCGACGGACCACACGCGATTTCTCGATAATTTTACAACGGCTGTATTTTACACTAGTTATACTTTTGGTCGCGGTTTGGGTGGATTTTTTTACTCACCAATTAAACGCGAACACGATTCGATTAAACCGGCTACACTTGTTCAGCGATATACTGTCAGACGCAGTTGAGAAAATAAGCATTCCACCGAACAAAAATATAATAATGGGTAACGTTAGCCTGTACTAATAAACATACAACAATTCGACAATTCCCCGACCCATAACGCAATGAACGGCGAAATAAATTGTCTATATTGCAGTAGCTCGTGCCGAATGCGCACTATTTCGGATCATTGTTTAGAGCTAATTACTTGCAGACTTAATTAGCTTCCGCTATTACTCGGCCCGTGGACGCCACTGATCCTAATTACGTGGGAAATTCCTATATTTCAGAGTATCGAATGACTAAGTATACTATTTTACACTAATTGATAATTAAATTGTGTACCGATTCAATACGATGTATGACATTTTAAAGTCTGCTACGATTACTCCGATATCTCTATTTTAATAGTGTGAGAACAGTTAATTAACATTTTACTTATATCAACAACAAGGCGTCTTACTTTTTTAAAGGAAAATTTTAATTGACTAATATCAAATACTGTCTATAGTTTACGCGAGTAGTACAGATTTAAATAAAACACTTTAACGGTTTGAAACGCGTTATATCTATAGTCTAAATATATAAAGAGTTCGTTCGTTTGTTTGAACGCGCTATCTCGGCAATGGGTTCAAATTAAAAAAAATTTTTGTGTTAGTTAGAGCATTAACATACATTGCGGTTGGGCTAATTGGAGCGAAGAAAGAGTGAGAAATGTGATCAAAACGGAAATTTTTCATCTTGTGGTTTCAGATGGTAGCTGCGAAACGGTTCAAGATACCTAAAAATAAATATGTATAGGAAAAAATGATTCCCCTAAAAT